ATCTGTTTGCACAGAAATTGCCCCTAGTGTTCGGCCGTCTGTGACCCCCTCTCCTGACCCACAGTTGTCTTCCTGGAATGAGTATCGAGCGTTTCCTTCCCTCTCTCTGGAGCATCCTTGGGCGCTCCTTTGCTTTTTTTTCTTGGTTTGGGGACCTTGAGAGAAACGGAAAATGCACATTCAGAAAGAAGCGTTCTTTGCTCTCTGGGTGTTGCGCTCGGGGGCACCTGTGAAGTGTTTATGTTGTGCTGCAGATTAAACACGCTGACTGGAGACAGTCAGGGGTTCTTTGGCTGCAGCCTGCAGTGCCAAGGTGAAGCGCTGGATGTTACCAGCTCTGGTTCGACTGTGTGGTTGATATTCTGGGTTTAATAATCAATAAAGGTTTTGAAAGATAGGCGGTCGGGGAGGGGCCTTCCCCCAATGAATTAGTGGAGGGCAAAAATTCCATATTTTATTTTTATTTATTTATTTTTAAAGATTTTATTTATTTATTTGACAGAAAGCACATGAGATGGGGGGAGGGTCAAAGGGAGAAGCAGACTCCCTGCCGAGCAGGGAGCCCGATGCGGGACTCGATCCAGGGACTCCAGGATCATGACCTGAGCCGAAGGCAGTCGCTTAACCAACTGAGCCACCCAGGCGCCCAAAAATTCCATATTTTAGAATCGCCTGTACTCTCCCTGCCCTTTTTTCTCCCGCAGGTAAAAGGGCTGTGTGTTCCCCTGTCTGCTCTCCAAACTTGGCTTGCTTTGCCCCCGTTTGTCATCAGAAGGGTGTGGGCCAGCCCTGTGACACAAGTCAGAAATGAAGGGGAAGGGTTTCCTGGCGGGTTTTCCTTGGCATTTACTTTTGATTATTGTTGACCTAGAGGGTGAGTGAGCAGCTGAGCAACCGGGCCCCGCTAACCCTCTTTCAGGAAAACCCTGAGCTCTGAACTGACTTTCAGGAACATGTTTTCCTCCAAAATATACTGTGAAATGAAACACATATTCTCTCTTCTTCCCTCCCGCTCACACCCTTCATGTTTCTGACACCAAGAGCAAAGCAATACGGGCTTCTTTGAAGACCCTTATGAACATTCGTGTTCTAAGACTTTTTGCTTGCCGATCCGCTAAAGGCTAAAGACATGGTCCCAGCATCCTCCTATTAAAAAATCACATAGTTAAAAGATGCTCTGTTGAGCTATAGCCTCTCTAGAGGGTCCATCATTCAGACACACCCCTGATGGCTCATGATCAGCACTCAGGGGGCTTGCAGTTCTCATCTTCAGAGCCTTACAGTGGCAGCTCTACATTTTACTCAGGGCTGAACATTTGTCAGCCTTAGCAGCTGTCCTCCCTGCTGCTGACGTCCCCAATCTGTAGGTGAGATGTTAAATACAAACCTGTCTCTGTCTGCCCTGGGGAGATTAATGGGACCCTTGACATTTTCCAGACAGAGCCAAGGCTAATTCCATTGTGCCTCCTGGCAATTGGCAGCTGTGAGAAACAGCAGTGTTTTCAGGGCTGTGGCATTACCTGTGTGCTAGCACACTTGGAGAGTATGCGTTTGCATCTTTACTGTGGACCGTCCCCTGGTAAATCAAATGCTCTTTGTGTATCCTCTGTTTTCATGTTATGAGACTGTGGAAAGGGTTAGAATGTCTGTCTGCACTCTCTTTTTCCTGTGTCTCCTTGACATTGGAAATCCTGCCCAAAGGGAAAGCCCTATCAAAGCCCTATTGAAGCCAGTAGTAAAAGCATTAGCATCTTAGCTAATCATTGCTGGAGAATTTATTCATTAGAAGCTGTTGGGGGCCTAGGATCCTTATTTGTTACCCTGGGAAAATATTAGCCCGACAACATACCGGTAACAGTGTTGTAAATTTTATTTTGTTCTTTCAACTTTTAAAAATAACATTCTTTCTCTAGATGGGGCAGTGGTTAGAATTATGCCAGCGCCTAACAACGTGTCACTTTTTACTTTGACAAGCCTTTATCTTGTCCTTCTTCTGTGCAATGCACAATACTCAAAAAGACTTGCATCCTTTGGAGCTTTGGTGTTAGAAACTAGTGCTGGTGCACAACTTGAGTGTATGGTCTTTCTCACTCTTCTTAGTATCTCTGTATTTGCTGTATGAGGTTTAATGGCACATCTGTGGATGTACTTATGCCGCACTGAGTGAGTTATTGCTTTCTAGGATGGAGACTTTTTAAGGTTATCACCATTCTTAGCAGGAATAATCTGTAAACGAGTCAGCATATTTGTAGTTGGAGGTGACTTGGAGGATTAACAACTCTTTAATACATGAGACATTTTATGTACAGAAGTATTTTAAACTATGCAAGAGTAAACTGCCAAGATTACCTGTGCAGTCTTGAAAAACAGAGTTCAAATGTAACTATAAACTGTAATTGACAATGAGTCATTGCTTAAGGGGTGCCAGCTATGAAAACAGCCTGGTTATGCCCCTAATGGTAATTATGAAAACTCCTTTTAAAAGCCAGTTGCATCTCAAGTGAGCTGTAAGTTGGCTTGGATAAATCATTTCAGTTTTACTTTCTAAAAAATTACTTAGTGATGATGGCTACACAACACTGCAAATGTACTTAATGTCACTGATACACAATTATAAATGGTTAAAATGGTTAAAAAAAAATCAGTTAGTAGCTGGCAATGCTATTTTCTACCTGTATATAGTTTTCAAAAGTTAAATATTCAAATGTTTCATAAAAACATTTGTGCTATTTATTTATTTATTTATTTATTTATGGGGGTGGGGGCAGAGAGAGAATCTTAAGCAGGCTCCGCCACCCCTAGCACGGAGCTGGATGTGGGGCTTGATCTCACAACCCAGCGATCATGACCTGAGCGGAAATCAAGAATCAGATGCTAACTGACTGAGCCACCCAGGCGCCCCTGTTCTTATAATTTAGAGATAATATAATATATAATCACTGAGTATTGAAAAAGGACAAACCTAGTAACTTAGAAAGCAAAGAATGGGACTGTTAAAGGCATTTTTCTACCAGCCAGGAACAACTTAGCATTTTATCCATAAACCCAATACATATTTTAAAGAAAATATAACACCTGTGAAAGTAAAGAGAAATCATATATACACATGACACTGGTAATATCGAACTATATACCAGGCATCTTGGTACATGTATTAGCTCGTTCATTCTTATGCAAAGCAATGAGACAATATATCTTTATAGTATACATAAGGATGCTGAACCATAGGTTCAACAGCCTACCTCACCTCAGATTGCCCATCTAAGTAGTAGCAAACCTGAAATCTAAGGAAAAAACAGTCTATTTCTAGAGTCTCCACTCTTATTCCCAAGGCAATCCTGCCTTTTATACATGGTTCTGTGTAAAGCATTTCATAATATTTGAATTAGTGCTATCAGACAGTTTACTCCTGCACAACCCAGTATTATTTGACCACTGTGTGTCTGTAAGTGTGAGCTTCGACAGTGATGCTGTAAAAGGGTAATTACGCTCAGAAGTCCGGTCTAAAAAAGCCTCTCCGTGTGACCTGTAGGAAACAGTCCCCTTTTTACACGCCCACATAGTTGGGGAGCTCACTTCATCGCCTGCATGGAGTCCCTTCTACGTCCTCTGTTAATCTGTCCTTACATCTGAAGAAATGTGGTTGTTTTGACCTCTGTTTTCACATCAGGTCCATAACAACTGAGTACCAAAAACAAACATTTAAAGGCCAATAAAAACACAAGCCACCAATATAACTCAGTGACTGTGTGGATAAGGGATAGACCTGTGGCAGGTATGATGCGAGCAGCATATACTTGTGGGTATGTGTCTCCTCCGCTAATAGTATCACAGAAGAAGCTGAAGAGGTAGGCATGAAGTTCTGATTGTTTCTGAAGAGTGGCTTAACGAGAATCTAAAATGATAGCATTGGCAGCAACGAGAGAGGTCATGGAATGGATTCCACCCTCCTAGTTTTACAAAGGACAAAACAGAAGTCTGGGAAGGTGAAGTGACTTGTCTAAAACGCAAGCAGTAGGGGCGCCCGGGGTGGCTCAGTGGATTAAGCGTCTGCCTTCGGCTCGGGTCATGATCCTGAAGTCCTGGGATCGAGCCCCACGTTGGGCTCCCTGCTCAGCAGAGAGTCTGCTTCTCCCTCTGACCCTCCCCCCTCTCGTGCTCCTCCTCTTTCACTCTCTCTCAAATAAATAAATAAAATCTTTGAAAATAAATGTATGCAGTATAGTTTGATTTAGAGCTACAACCTTTAATCTTCACATCTAGTGTTCTTCTCTCTGTTAGCAGGGAGACCACATCACCAAACGGAGCAGGAACATGGTGGCCCTGACTCTAGGGGAATGAGTTTGGTCGCTATTTTATCATTTCCAAATGCCCTGCCGCTTACGTGCAAGGCAGAGGATACCCTTTGACCAAGTGATTGGTAGGGGACATGTCCGTACAGGAGAAAGGCAGGGCTGTCCACTAATACCTAATGCTTCAGCCATTTGGGTAATTTCCCTAGGGGTTGGGTATCCATTGCCCAAAGAAAATGAGCCAGTTAGTGAACAAGTAGTTTATTCATAAACTGAGCAATACTTGCTGAACCTATAGCAGGTTCTCAATCAATATGTGTTTTATTGATTAATGGAAGGTTGCCAAGTTGGGTTTGTTGGCTGCTCCTTTGGCAGCATTTCCAAGCAGTAAAATTTTGTTTGGTTCACATTTAGAAAAGTATCAGTCCCATTTTTTTGTTCTTTTGGATGTGTTGCCTCTCATTCATTGTAATACCCAGCCACTCCAGGAGGACTGGCATGAGGCTCTGAAGGGAATAGCTAGCATTCAGATGTTTTCCTGTACCGATTTTAAGTTGTTTTATCTCTGTAGGTTTGGAAGATGACACACAGCACGGTTGCCTTTTTCTCTGGCAGCCGACCAGCGAGTGAAAAAGTATGACACAAGTTTGATGTTTGTGTCTGCTTCCCCAAGGCCAAGAAATTATCTCCTTAGAAGGCAACAGTACTATGCATGTTATGAATTGTGTCTCCTTGGTCAGCGATAAAGAAAATGGGACTACCACTGCGGCAGCCGGATTCATGATCGGGCAGACAGCACCACCACCCCCTCCTCCACTTCCTCCTCCCCCGCCTCCACCATGTCCGTATTCAGGGGAGGGGTTTCCTCCCTCTCCTCCTCCTCCCCCCCCACTTCCGCTCCCCGGGGGGCCTCTGCTCCCACCTCCCCCTCCAGGACTACCCCCAGCTTCTCCCATGAATGGCTACAGCCACCTTGGTAAGAAAAAGCGGATGAGAAGCTTTTTTTGGAAGACCATTCCAGAGGAGCAAGTCCGCGGCAAAACCAATATCTGGACTTTGGCTGCCAGGCAGCAGCATCACTACCAAATTGATACAAAGACCATCGAGGAACTCTTTGGGCAGCAAGAAGATACTACTACCAAGTCTTCCCTTTCTAGGAGAGGAGGGACTTTAAATTCATCCTTCAGGGATGTTAGGGAAGAGGTAAGAACCGATGGGATCGGGGAGGGATAATCCTCCACACGCTGCATTGTTTTGTGTTTGGAAGGGTGTGTACATTTCAGAATTTGCTAAAGCACTGAGAAGTAAGATAATGTAAGTTTGTGTGCTCTGGAAATGATAGAAAGGGCCTTATATGATGAGCCTGAGCTGACTAGCAGAAAAGTGTAAGAAGCATGCATGCCACATCCTCCCAGACATCCCGGTGGATTATGACCTCACGCTGAGAACATGCTATGTGGGGCCATCGTTCTTTGGCCTCTCAGCACTGCCCTGTCTCCAGCAACATCTGCTGCGGTTTCCCCTGGTGGAGCAGTTCTGCCGAAGTCCACGTTATTAGTCTCTGTCGAAACAAAAACCTGAGTTCCTGAACTCAGCTAACTGAGATTAACTGGAACTTTCTGAGACAAAATGCCCTTTGTTAAAGACACCCTTAACTAATATGCATCCTGAAGATTTTATCCCTATTTTTCCCTCTAGTTTTCCTTCCCTAAGTGTTAGGAGAGAGCCTTCATTCCTCTAAAGTGTGGCCATTGTGGACTAGAGATTTCCAGAGAGTTCAAAGCGTAAAGCTAGTTTTAGGATTTTCTAGCAAGCATATTGCCAGTTAGCAATAAATGTCTTATGTTGAGAACAAAGTAAACCTGGCAGGTTATAAGAAGTTCACTGAAAGCATGGCTTCAGAGCTACCAATTACCATATATTATAGAAACTGAGTCAAAAATCGCATTTGAAAGTACCCTGTTTAGAAACAAAGTAAATTGAGAAACCTCTGCTTGCTAGCAGAAGTACTGAGGAAACTAGAGATTGAAAGGAAAGAGTGTTGCCCACCAAAAAGAAAAAGTGGGGGGGGGCAACAAATGTATCATTTTTTAAATCTCTTCTACAGGAGCAGAGAATATAGGTCAAAGATGGAGTGACTCAGGTAAGAGAGTGGGCAGGGCTCGGGGATGAGGTAGCAGGCTCTCTGCATAATTGAATTCTCAAGCCCACAGTATTGACCCCATTTCTCTTTCTGGCTCAGGAGCAGGTTAACTTCTCTCCATGGATCCAGTTGGGGGTCCTTGAAATTAGTGGTATGGTCCCCTGTTGAAATAGCCAAGAGTCTGAACTATAAAATGCAGGGAATGCTGGGATTAGAATTAAGTGTGAACCGTGAAATTAATCTGAGAGGAAGTCTTCAGGACAACCCCTCGGCCCTCCCCTGCTGAACTTGGACTTTTCCTGTTCTTCCCTTTCTGCAGAGCCCTTTTATTTCTTAGCGGATCCTTTCAATATTGGAAGGAGCAAAAAGTCACTTCCTTAGTACCCTGGCCTTCGCCCCAGCTTCCAGCAGAGACTCCTTGCTGTACAGTAGGGCATTTCTCGCCATTGTTTCCTAGTTCTCCCTACTGCATTTCAAGAATTTTGAAGGAAAGAGTGGATGGGTACAGTGGGAAATTGAGCACACCTCTCAGGAAACCACCCATAACAACCAGAAGGGGGTCTAGCTCACCTTGCTGCTAGGGACGCAGCTACCAGGTTAGAATGCGTGGCCTCCTTTATAGATTGGAGACACTTACTTTGGCGAACGATAGTTCACGGGGCCACAAGGAGTTTGCAGCTTTATGTCTGCTAATTCAAAAGCAGGTAAGAAGCACTCGGAGGGAGGGAAGTAGCAGGGGGTGTGGCATCTTGCCCCAACTACAGCCGAAGCCGAAATGTCCATGTCTAGGCCACATCTGAGTTTCAGGAATAAAAAGTCTTCCCCTAATCTCTCTCTACCCCCTCACCCTAGATACGTCTTTACTTTTTTTTTCCTTTCACTTAAAAAATACCTGGAACCAAATAATTGTTATTTTTAATTGTGATAAAATACACATTACATTTACCATCTTAACCGTTTGTAAATGTACTGGTCAGTGTCATGAAGAGCATTCACACTGTCCTACAACCATCACCACCACGCACCCACTGAAATCTCTGTGTCTTGCAAAATTGCAACTCTGGACCCATTAAGGGATAACTCCCCATTCTCTCCTTCCCTCAGCCTCTGCCAACCACCCTTCTACTTTCTGTCTCTAAGAATTTAACCACTCTATGTGCCTTAGGTAAGTGGAATCATATAGTATTTGTCTTTTTGTGACTGGAGCATTTCAGTTTGCATAATGTCGTTAAGGTTCACCCATGTAGTATGTGTCAGAATTTTAAGGCTGAATGATATTCCATTGTATATTTGTAGCACATTTTGTTGATCTAGTCATCCATCGACGGATATTTGGGCTGCCTCCTCCACCTTTTGGCTATTGTGAATATGGGTGTGTGAATATTTTTAACACTTATAGGTCCTAATCTGAGAGAGGCTGCTAGAAAGAAAAAGTAAATCACCATGACTGTGAGTCATAAGATAATCTAACTTTTCAACTCTTTAGTACTCAGGATAAGTAGGTTAGGTGGATGGATTTAAGTGTATATTAGGCAATATTGTCACATAACAGAGGGTTATCCAGAATTATTTTCAATTTTTCATGCTATCTCCAACATGGCTAGAAGTATTTTATATATATATATATATATATATATATTTTTTTTTTTTTTTTTGGTAAAAGAATACAGTACATGCTATTTTCTTCCCTCATTAGACTTTCTTCTAAGGAAATTACAACTCAGCAGAGTGATAGTTTCACAAGGTCCGGTAATAAGTCTTCAGTTTACTCGGAAGGAGTACATGGAATCCAGGGTTGAAAACACTAGTTCTCACCACCTGTCTGCGTGGAGTGGAGAATACCCTAAACAGCATGTTTGGCAGAGGGACCCATCCTGAGCCTGAACACAGGCCATAATTCCGGAGGTTCAGACATGTCAGGGATCAGATAATGTCCCCTCGAAATACAATAACCTCCTGCAGAAATGGCCTGCCATTATGTGGTTGGCTCCTACTTTAAAGTGCTTATAAAGCATTACAAAATAGTTTTATTATTTTCCAGACAAAGTAGTTGCTGGAAGATAAGGAAGAACTGGGTTCAGGAATGGCTGAATTTAGGAAGAACAACCCTCAAAAGAGAAAAATTAGAACATTTAGTAAGGGGAGGGGAGGAAAGGTTATGAAATATTACTATCCTTGTGTTTTTGTTACCTAAAAATTAACTTGAGGCTACAAATGTTACAGTAATAATTAAACCGTAATAAAGTAATTAGAAATAACAAATATATTACTGGGGATAATAATAAAAAGAGTCAGCTCTTTGCGGAGTTCACTGACCTCATCCCTGAGAAGTTCCCTGTCTGTCACCACTGCTCCCCAACCCACTCAGAGCATTGCTCACACTGGTGGGTTGGGTCTGTACTTGTCTCCCTCTAGAATCTGAAATGCTCTTAAAGGGTGGGACAGTCTTAGCCAGTTGGTATCTTCCAAAGGAAATTAAAGGTAACTGAGCTGACAGAACTGAACCAAGGGGGCAAAGGGAGTATTTATCAGTATGATAGATCAATATGATCAAAATTGGGATTGGCAAAACACAAGGTGAATGAGGCCTGAGGATGTATTATAAAACAAGGTGACTACAGTTGATAACACTGTAGTCGGATAGTTGTTGGATAATTGAAATTTGCTAAGAGTAGAACTTAAATGCTCTCACTGAAAAGGAGGAAACCAAGATAACCGTGAGGTGGGGGGGGGGAGTCCTTCCACCATGTTTACATATAGCAAATAAGCACGATGCACACCTTAAATATCTTACAATTTTATTTGTTAATTATACCTCAATAAAAGTGAAATAAAAAAGGAAAAAACACAAATGTTGGAACACATGAGATCATTCAATATAATGTCTGTAGTAATCTTTACAAATAACATTAATTAATAATACTATATAAGAAATAACTAAAATTGCTTATTAGGAAAAGAGTGAGGAAAAAAGGAAGGATGGAAGGAAGATTGCTTTTATAAATTTCTGAGAAGTAATAATTCTCCCACACTAATTCAGGTTATCGGTTATTCTTTCTCAACTTTTGTTCTCAGTATGTTCTAGAATTCTGGGACATGCTCAGTCCAGAACTACAGAGCTAGATGAGTATTTGAAATACATTTGAAAGAAAAAAAAAAGAAACTTCAACTGGGTTTTTATTTTTTTCCCCCAAACCCAGGCTGGAACATTTCCCAATTGGCAGCCAACCAAAAACAAAAAGAAAATGAAAAACAAACAAACAAACATCAAAACCCAAAAGCTATGTCTGTATAAGAGGATACAGGAAGATTTTTTAAGTTTTGCTTTTCCGAATTTGATGTAACGTTGAAATAAGCACTACTTAGTGGTACTTAAGCAGTCCGGGAAAAGCCCTCTTTGGCATATTGAAACAAAAATGGTTTAACAATTTCTTCTACCTTGAGGACATGATGCTAAGGGAAATAAACCAGTTGCAGAAGAACAAATACTGTATGATTCCATTGATGTGAGGCTCCCCAGAAGAGTCACATTCTTAGAGACGTCAAGTAGAAGGATGGTTGGCAGGGGCTGAAGGAAGGAGGGAATGGGGAGTTATGACTTAATGGATACAGAGTTGCAATTTTGCAAGAGGGCAAGAGTTCTGTGGGTGCGTGGTGGTGACGGTTGTACCACAGTGTGGGTGCTCTTCATGACACTGACCATTTACAAATGGTTCAGGAAGGGGGTCCTGGCTGGCTCAGTTGGTAGCATATGCGACTCTTGATCTCGGGGTCATGAGTTGGAGCCCTACGTTGGGCGCAGAGATTACTTTACAAAAAAATGGTCGGGGCGCCTGGGTGGCTCAGTCGGTTAAGCGTCTGCCTTCGGCTCAGGTCATGATCCCAGGGTCCTGGGATCGAGTCCCACATCGGGCTCCCTGCTCGGCGGGAAGCCTGCTTCTCCCTCTCGCACTCCCCCTGCTTGTGTTCCCTCTCTGGCTGTGTCTCTCTCTGTCAAATAAATAAATAACATCTGTAAACAAACAAACCAAATGGTTAAGATGGTAAATGTTAACGTGTATTTTACCACAACTAAAATGCAAAAGCTGTTTCTTCCTTGGAAGAATATGGGAGGCAGATTGTGTAGGGGATTGCTCGTAGATGAATGTACAGGAATTGTAGAAGAAATGAGGAGCGCTTAGAGTTGTGGTGGAGCCAGCCACAGCCTCTCCCGAGTGCTGCAGTCTCAGTGCTTCAGAGGGAGGCAGAAGGGCCCTGGCCAGCCTCGCAGTCTGTGGGGACCCTGTTTCTCTAGCAGGGCTGCCTCACACCCTAGTGGGAAGTCCTCAGTCGATTCCCACATATGGCCTTGTATTTCATTCCCTCGTTCTCCAGGGCTGGCGCAACTCTTCAGTGGGCCTTTGATGGGAAAGCCCGTGAGCTCTACAGTACCCTGGCTGTCCCTGTTGTGACAGGCCCTGACTTCAGTGGGGGTCCTGTCCCCCTGTCCTGCGGTGCCCAGAAAAGTAGATTTTTGTGGATTGGAACTGGGGGGCAGGGAGGGAGCCGGGTTAGTTCATCCTTGTTCCTGAGGCTGGCTTTCACAGCCTGTGCATCCAGCACGCATGCAGAGTCCGCTGCTCTGGATGATTCCAGAACACCGCCCAGTCCCCCACGCAGGGGTTCCTGAATTGCCCTGCTTTGAGATGGCAAGCATTTGGGGAGTAAGATAAGCTAATTTGCATTTGAAACGATAACCCGCTTTAAAAGACTTTAACAAACACATTTATAACACTGCTTTAGAAGGATGGAGTGTGACAGCCTGTGAGGAAGAGACTGCTCATGCGCTAGGCAAATCTGAGGATGCCAGCAGAGTGGGACTGTCCCTGGAATGCTGTCAGTTTTCCTGCTGTTTGGATGAGTCTCTGGGCTTTGTTTGCCCTGTAAGGTGCTCAGGGATGGCCAACCCAGGTTTTTCCTTCGGAGTATTGCTGAATTCTCTTAAATTCCTTTTTAAGATTTTATTTATTTATTTTTTTGTCAGAGCGCACGAACAAGCAGGGTGAGCGGCAGGCAGAGGGAAGGGGGGAAGCAGGCTCCCCACTGAGCAGGGAGCCCGCTGCAGATGCGGAGCTCTGCGGGGGCGCGATCCCAGGACCCTGGGATCATGATCTGAGCTGAAGGCAGACGCTTAACCACCTGAGCCACCCAGGCGCCCCTCTCTTAAATTGGTGGCCAGTTTCTGAAGCTTTGCTTCAAGCGGTGGAGGCAGCCGCTACCCCAGGCTGTGGCTTCTCCCCTGTGTCAAGGGCATGATGGCAGCTCCTGAAGGCTGTCTCAGCTGTGAGAACATGATTTCTATCCATCATCTCACATAGACAGCCCTGGAATCGCCAGGGGACTTGGCCAGGACCTATGGATGGCTTTCTATAGATCTGCCCCCATTGCTAGAGTGGATACCAGCTGAAGCTGGTGGTGGAACATTGCCACCTGTCTGTACTCTAGCAATGTTAAAACTCACAGAAACAAGAGAAGGAACCCGAGAGACCCAAGCTAGCATTTCAGGTCTCGTGTTGCTTTGAGGAAGGGATAACATGACATCGCTGAGGCTCGGTTTCCTTATCTGTCAAATAGGAATAATAAGAGTAATTTCTCCATCATTTTTCCAGGGGCACCGAGTGTCAGGGGGTTAGGGGTGGAGCCTGGAGTTGGGGGCAGGGGAGGGTGCTGCCATCCAGGGTCAAATAGAGCAAGAGGTGGTGATTTAATGAGAGAAATAGAAAAGGAGTTTTTTCCTCATTCTGGGTAGAAGTGAGTGCCAAGGAAGTTCTTTGGATATGTATAGCGCTATATCAATATACATGTTATTACTTGTGGCTTTTTAATTGATGAATTATACACTTGTTTTCTGTCGTACTAAATTTAGATTCCTCTGTTTCCTATGAGCTTTCCTCTTTAAAGGGTGTTAGGTTTGACAGGTTTTATTCTCTCCACGTCTTCTCCCCTCCCTTCACACTGAACTTGAACTGCATCCCTGGGTAGGATTCCAATAAGGAGCCTGCTCTGTTTGCTTGGGAGTTTATTTTATGGCTGGTAGGTGATTGCACGAACATGAAATAGACCTTTAGGATAGTAAATAATGTGATTGTTTAAGATTAACCTTCAAAAGAAGACAGCCATACTCTTGTAAAAATTTAACCTTATAGCCAGGAAGTGTCATTAAATTTGGTTAACAGTTCTTGCTGCAGCTTATAAACTTACAAGCAGGCCTAGAGAATGGGAACTTAATCTGAAACCTGATTCACTTTTGTTCACAAATGAATCACATACATTTGGAAAGGAAGAGAATCATAACAACATTCCTGTTTTAGCTAGTCTCCCTTTACCAAAAAACAGATGAGAAAAAACCTGTGGCAGTTTTAAGGTGATCTTTCCTCCATGCATCTTGGATGTTCCCTTCCAGAGAAAGAAATGGCTTCTGTATGTATGTATGTATTTATTAAGATTTTATTTATTTGAGAGAGAGAATGAGAGAGAGAGAGAGCACAAGGGGGGTAAGGGGTAGAGGGAAAAGCAGACTCCCTGCTGAGCAGGGAGCCCAATGCCGGCCTCATTCCTGGGACCCTGGGGTCATGACCTGAGCTGAAGGCAGACACTTAATGACTGAGCCACCCACACGCCCCGGCTTCTGTATTTAATAACAACATCCTCCCCACCCCCTGCCCAAAAAAGGTTCTGTCCAATTTCTAGTCTGATAAAACCCTGCCCAGTTAACTAATTTTGAACAGGTAAAACCTATTGCAGCCCAAATCTGGGTTTTGACAGTATATTAGAATGGTACCATATTTCATTAAATCGAAGCTGCTGTGCATTGTCAGATACATCCTGATTGTAGAGATGTTAATATGCATCTTAGACTTGGTGAAATACAGCACAAGAGTTTTCCTTTTTAAATTCCGAGTAAATTGAAAAAAAAAAAATTCCGAGTAAATTGGGCGCCTGGGTGGCTCAGTCGTTAAGCGTCTGCCTTTGGCTCAGGTCATGATCCCAGGGTCCTGGGATCGAGCCCCACATCGGGCTCCCTGCTCCGCGGGAAGCCTGCTTTCCCTCTCCCACTCCCCCTGCTTGTGTTCCCTCTCTCGCTGTGTCTCTGTCAAATAAATAAAATCTTTAAAAATAAATAAATAAATAAATTCCAAGTAAATAAAATGTAGGAAACTTTCTTACCTCCCCCTGAAGGACGATATATGAAGGGCATATATTCTTTCTCAATGAGAAGAAATTTATCTTTTAGAAAAAAATTAATTTTATTACATTTCTTAAAATAATAGTACTGGTCCTTCTACATCCCTAAAGCAGGGCTTGGGACTCTGTAATATCTTGAGTTATTTTTTGCTTTCTTAGTTCAACTCTCATATAATCTAGCTATGCTAACACACCTGTTTTTCAAATTTGGGCTTTTAAATGAAGGCTGTATTATTCTAAGAGGAAATAGCTAAATTAAAAAAATTTTAATATACATTGTTCATTAAAAATTATGTAAGATTAGGGGCACCTAGGTGGCTCAGTCGGTTAAGTGTCTGACTCTTGGTTTCAGTTCAAGTCATGATCTCAGGGTCTTGAAATCGAGCCCGGAGTTAGGCTGTGCACTGAACATGGAGCCCTCTTGGGATTCTCTCTCTCCCTCTGCCCCTCCCCCAGCTCATGCACACACACCTTCTCTCTCTGTCTCTCAAAAAAAAAAAAAAAAAAGTTACGTAAGATTAAAATAGATACGTATAGTTATTATAGTTAAGGAAATAGATCATTGCAGGAAGTTTGGGGAGATGATAATATTTTAATATTTGCAAAACTGTGTTAGGTATATCGATTAATAACCAGATTTACATAGTGGAATTTATTCACTTGTAAATTAGTGTTGTATTTTGATAGGTTTAAATTCTCTTCTTCCCTCCAAGTCTTCTAATTTGTGATAGTCTTATGTGTGTCTGTTTTTTTCCAGATTACTGTCTTGGATGCAAAACGGAGCATGAACATTGGGATATTTCTTAAGCAATTTAAGAAGTAAGGTTTTTGCACGCATTTGCAACTTTAGGCACATCCACGCCATCAGCATCAGTCTGTGGGTGTGGCTGAGCTGAAAATTCAGCTTCTAACATGAGCGGAAGTCATTCCTCATACCTGCCTATCCTCCTTGGCACACGGCATGATAAGTATCCCAAGTGCCTGTTGCTGTCTGCTGTTTTCCTGCGTGAAAGCATAACCTAACGGCTTGAAGTACAGGCAGAGTTCCTCAGAGTGTCTGCTCAAGCCTGTCATGCCAGGGAATTTATAAATTCATCTGTAATGTTGCCCCTCAGTGGAGGGTGGACTGGTCAGAAGACAGTGGTGAAATGCCAGTATGTGGAAAGGAGAGGCTCTCCAGAGTTCCGTGTGACCCAAGGGGATTGCTTTTCTTCTCCTAGAGAAGACTCCCATGGTTGCTGCCACTTCCAGCTTTTCTGGGATTCCCAAGGATGGGCTTCTGGGTGAACAGGCCTCTGGGCAATGTGTCAGGATCCCCACTTTCCCTGGTACTGGGGCTCCTGTGATCACTGACAAAGCACATCCCCCAGACTGGGAAGAAGGCGGGTTGGAAAAAGGGTAGAGGTGATTTGTTATAGTTCCCACTGACTTGTGTTTCTTTGGCACTCCAACAAACGTAAAGTGGAATCTAAATGTCTTTTCAAGGTCTCCTCAGTCCATTGTAGAAGATATTCATCAAGGAAAGAGTGAGCATTATGGATCAGAGACCTTGCGAGAATTTCTTAAGCTTTTGCCGGAGTCAGAGGAGGTAAGGAATTTGGCATAGGAATTTTAGATGTTAGGAGCGATGATCAAAGCCCAATATTTTTCAGAGTGTCAAAACTCACATGGGAAAGGCACTCTGCTACCCAGAGCCAGAGTCTTCCCACATACAAGTAAAAAAGTGACCTAGGATAAATTGTGGAGTTTAGGGAACCTGGGTTTAAATTGGAGCTGTCTCCTTGGGCAAATTTCCTAACTCCAGTGAACTTAGTGTCCACACCTGTATAGTGAGGGTGTGGGTGCCTGCCTCACCAATTGCCAGGAGGCCGAAACCCTAGTTACGCATCGAGGATGGTACCTGGCACATGGGACCTCAATAAACTTTGGTTTCCTTTTCCATCACCAATGATGGTTTTTGCCAAGGCTGCACCCAGGTTATTTTATAAATATGTATACTTTTTATACACAAAAATAAAAGGAAACTGCTTCTGGATAAAATGCTCTAAAATTTTGGAGAGGTAGGTAAACTGTTAAGAAACATTGTCTCTGGAATTGACTTAAAGGTGAAAATTGCTGTGATAGCCATGTAGTACCGCAATATAGTTATTGATCTTTTTTTTTTTGGACTGAATTAACTGAACTGTAATGGTTGGGAGCTTGATAGGAATAAAAAAAAACATCGGAAAAATTTTATAAAGCTTCTAAAATTGTGGGGCGCCTGGGTGGCTCAGTTGTTAAGCATCTGCCTTCGGCTCAGGTCATGATCTCGGGGCCCTGGGGTCGAGCCCCGCATCGGGCTCCCTGCTCCTTGGAGAGCCTGCTTCCCCCTCCCCCACTCCCCCTGCTTGTCTTCCCTCTCTCGGTGCGTCTCTCTCTGTCAAATAAATAAATAAAATCTTTAAAGAAAAAAAAAAAACCTTATAAAATTGTAATAGTGCCTTTTATTTCTGAAGAAGGGGGCCCTGAAAAAATTCAGTAAGAAATTACATGAATATATGTACTTGTGAACATTTGGATAATGTAGAATCTTACAGTTATCCTTTCCCCACACTGCTGGTTCCTCTCTTCCCCATCCCACTCCGCTTCCCACACAGAATTTATGGAATTTGACTTTAGTCCATAAAGAACAAGAGGGGTATATGGCCATACTTTTTCTTTTATGTCAATCAGTGATGCACTTGCAATGCCAGCTCGAGGGTCTTACTAGGTAACTGGAGTATTCTGGGTGTATTTGATAAGCTGAACCTCTCTCTGTGTCAGGTTTTCTGTTTGGAAATTAAGTGTAATTTACCTAAGCCAAGATTAATTACCAGCATTTATTAATGATAGTAAAGGGTCCTAAAGTCTTGAGGGAAACGTACATCACATCCTAATTTACCCTGGATCTTATACACTGAACGGTCCTTAGTCTTTTTTAATGTAGAGAATGAGAGTTTCAAAAATCTTTAATTAGGATGGGTAGGGTTAATTAATTTGGATTTTAAAACGATTGAGTTGTTGAAATCTTATTCCTCTTCGGGCTTTTTTTTTTTTTTTTTTTAAAGATTTTATTTATGCGGGGCTCAATCCCAGGATGCTGGGATCATGACCTGAGCCGAAGGCAGACACTTAACGACTGAGCCACCCAGGCGCCCCGTGAAAAGCTCTAAATTTCTAACTAAAGGGAGGCTAGGCGGGGGAGAGGCTGCCAGCTTCATACCATGGTAAAGAGGTGGGACAATAGGTCCGGGTTTTCCTAATATCTTCATTTCTAATTTTAAATTCAGAGGTGATTAGAGAACGCAAAGGCTGTGGGAGACTCGGGGATTTTTCAGAGAAGCAACTTAGCTGTCAAGCCTCCCGTGTTGTTGAGTTGTGTGTGGGGGAGGGCATAATTCAAAGGGGGGATGTTAAGGGCAAGATGACTGAAACCCGCCTGAGCACTGTCCGGCAGCCGGAAGCATTCACTCTCCCCCAGACAGTTAGCCAGTCCTGGAGACAGTGTCCTGCTGGGATGAGACGGAGCCCTGAGACGCTGCGCTGCGTCCCAGCCACTAAGCCAGGCACAGCTGCCTCTCCTGTCACCCTCCTGCTGCAGGGTCATCCTCAGCCTGAATATCCGACAAGCTTGGTCACACTTCTCCTTGTTTACATTACCAACTCTGGGCTTCAGTTCACCACACCCTCCACACTCAGCTGGGAGCTTCTTTCAGCAGGAACACCCTGACAGTCCCCAGGGCTTCTTGGCTCCCCTCCCGAAACCACTGCGGGGATCTGTGCTAGCAGAGGGCGTCTCGGTGCGGGCCAAAGCCACCTCATGACAGATGCCTGCTGCGGGGGCCCCTTGGCCTTGCCACAAGCGCTGCGTGTCCCCTGGCACCACCTTGATCAGGGCCGGCCCCTGAGTCTTGGGTAGAGGGTGGAGGGTGGAGGATGGGGATGAGGCCAAGGAGGAGCCAGGGCCAAGTGAGAGAGGTTTAGGAATGTGGCAGAAATATGTTAATAAATGCACAAGTGTCTGCGTAACTGCATGTTGCTAAGCCTATGGTGTAATGTTCTGTGCTCGTTTTTAGCACAGGAAGGGACTAAACATCTTTGGAGTGTTGTCCCTGTGTTGCAGGCACTGGGCAGGGTAGAATCCAGCCGAGTGAGATCATGTGTTCAAGTGTGTAGCCCAGTGCCTGGCACGTAGAAAGTCACTCAGTCATAGCTCTGATGATTTGGGGTGCCTTTTGCATTGAATCCTCCCGGCCACATCGTCAGATATTCCTTATGGTACAGATGGGAAACAGGCTCACGCAGGTTTGCTAGAACTCCTCTCGCGTGTCCCCTAGTTGATAGGCCGGAGAGGAAGGTGGATTTGCACGTGATTCGTCTGACCCCAGAACAGTTCCTTCTGCTGCACCCCCACTGCATCCCTTTGAGGAAGGAAGGGCAAAGGTTCTCAAAACCCCACCTTGCACCGTGCGGCCTTCCTCCCAGCCTTTTCATCACTCCTGCTGCAGAGCAGAGCACTGGTGTGAGTGTCGCTTGAGTGATACCGTAATCTTATCAGCGTGTTGAAAAATAGGAGCGGAAATGGCCCTTTTCAGTCGTGCATTCTCAGCTGACAAGCCAGCAGAAGGTTAATTTGTTTTCAGGATTTCTCTGGCCTTCCCCACAAATCACTGATCTGGCATGTTTGTTCATCTTGCTTTCAACTCACGCTTAAAACTTGCAGAGGAAGAAGACAGACCCAGAAATAAAAGCCCTGGGAGGGGGTTCTTTGCCCTGAGAAGTATTTCTGTGGCCAGAGAGGGACAAGGGAGAGGTTGGCATAGGAGCTGGGTAGATGGTGGAAGGGAGCCCCGACGCAGCCCGCGAGCCCTTCCCTCCGATGGGGCTGGGGCCCCATCCCTGCATCACTGGCAGGGATAGAGGGCTGGAAGGTGGTAGAAATTTTCTGTTCTCTCTGGCAGCTGGTTGGTTGCCGCCTCTGACATTTTGATCACCTCATCCCAACCTTCTATGCCAACTCTATCCCTGGGGTGGGGGTTGGGGAGAATGACCAGGAGGAAGCCCTAGGGTCTTCCCTTGGGGTGAGTCTGTTGGTGGGAAATCTTGCTATTTCGAGGCCATGTGAGTGGAATTAGATAGGATGAAGGAGGTCTGTCTGCCCTTTGGAATGTGTGAGTCAAGGAGCATGCTGTTTGCTATTAGGACAGAAACCGGGCACAGCCAGGTCGTAATGAGAGTCACTTGGCTCAGCCAACAAAATTATGCCTAACAATGTGTGATAAATGCTTTTTGATGATGATGAGAATGCACAATAATTATAGGGTTTGTTCACCTCTCTTTTTTTTTTTTTACCTCCTTACCACTGTGACGGTACCATAATCCCTCTTAATGAACACAAGTCTCATTTTGAAATGGAATTAAGAACTGTATACATGGCATTTAAATTAAATACTATCTTTCCATCACCATTCTCTTGAACTCCATAAACATTTTTAGCTCTTTATATAAGTGAAGGAGATTAATCATTGTTCAGTTACAGTTGAGCACATGTTTAATGGAAATATCTACCCAGTTTATTTAGCATGACCTATTCTATATGCTTTAGACAGAAAATTGTGCTGTTATTTTCAGAAGCTTTGCACATGCTGCATAGATGGTCTTATAAAAGGTACAACCTCACTCTGCCCCTTTCCATATATAGTGAATTGCTCAACTCTAGTTCAGGAGGGGTCAGGATTCATCCTATGGTTTTCTCTGTTCAGCAGCCAGGCACCAATTTGGGTTTAGCTAAACCAAAAATTCCATCTGCCCTTAAATTGAGTATGACTAAAAATGGTAAATTCAGTTTGGTGCCCTAAAGGTAGGGGAAGTTAATGCAATTCTATAAATGGCTATTTTCTGCCCATTTAAAAAAAAAAATGTAGTCTTGAGCATCAGACTTAAGTCTAGGGTATGCATCTGCACTGTGACATTTTGTATTTTTAGGTAGTTGATGTAGATACTTCGGATCTTTGCAAATATTCCCTCCTCTGTGTTTTTGAACTATCATTTCCTATTCTCAAGACACTGAAAAGTCATGTTATTTTTTATGGGCACCCGCCATAATCCTGGGGATGGAAGAGAGTAAGCTTTATAAAGGTAATGAAAGATGGTGAGTGCTCACTGACAACAGTGAGCTGCAGAGGTAGGCTGTCTACTTTACTCGTAGTCCCAAGGTTTGATTTACCATAAAGTATTTTTGTTGGAAGACGCTCTACGCCAGTGGATGTAGAAAAGTTTCTGCCATTGGGCCGGTCCAGTTCTCTGCGTGAGGGAGGCACTGATTTGCTCTGATGCAGTTTGAGAACTTTCTCTTTGCTTCCATCCCTACCTACTCGCTGTTTGGCTCTATTCCTGTGTCAGAACTCTTTCATTTTTCTTGGCGACGGTTGAAAGAATAACTTTTAGTTGAGTTTAATTTTTTACAAGAGTAATACATGTTCATTGTAGACATTTCAGGAAATAAAAAAGAGCAGCGGAAGAAAATAATAGTCCCTGTAATCCTATCACCTCGTGCGGGTGGGGCCTTCTAGTCTTTTTTTCCCCACACCTGTGGTGTGTGCATGGAGGGTGGGCGGGGGGGTATAGTGGGTGCTTCTTTTAAAATTTCTAGGAATGGGATCTGACCATACATCCTGTTTTATTACCTGATCTACTCATAGGGGGAGGTCTTGACATTGACCCATCAGCTGCTTGAGCCATTTTCCTTTTTCTCTGCCACTGGAGAGCCAATGTGTCCACGCCTCAGCACACAGTAGCCCCTTGCTGTAAGGCTATTCTGTGTAAGGGGGACTTGGCCAGAGAAAGGTCTGTTAGCCCTCCCCCAGTCTGAGAACTTTATGTCCAAACTACCCAAAATATTAAGATTTTTTTCATTAGGGACCTAGAGGACCATGTTATAATGATGACCCAGGGTCCTCTTTCTTCTCCCAGTGATCTCCCTTCCAGATTATAACTTACAGAAAATTCTCATCCTTAGAACTGACCCTTTGGTAACCTCCCTGAGGAGTCCCGTGGCTCCAATTCTCTGGTTTGATGGAGGTTATTTTTACCCACACACGTGACGCAGCTCTTCTCCCTCTCATTTGTTTGGTTTTTCTTCTTCCAAAAAACATAGAAGACGCGATGATTTCCTTCTCTGTCTTTTCTTGGGTCTGCATTTTTATTAATTTGAATTTAGCACTGGAATCTTACTTTCTTACAGGGATTCTAAGAGGACATTTAAAATAATGTTACATTTTAATCACAAGTTATTTTTTTTTCTCTACCCTCTTTTCTGTTTGGCTTTTAGATAAAGAAATTGAAAACATTTAGTGGAGATGTGTCCAAGCTGTCCCTGGCGGACTCCTTTCTACACCACTTGATTCAGGTGCCAAAGTAAGGATCGTCCATCACTGCTCTTTACAGGGGAAAGTTTTAAAATCAGTGACCTCAAACGCTACAGCTTTACTTTTTATTTTTTAGCTATTCGCTCCGGATTGAAGCCATGGTGCTAAAGAAGGAATTTTTACCTTCTTGTTCTTCTCTGTACACAGACATAACAATTCTGAGAACTGCTACAAAAGGTAAGTGACCACATGATGCTTCATGGAATTTGTTTTTATTAACCTTGGTGGTAGCACTTTATTTTAATTTTTATTCTTTTTTGTAAGCATTCTTCTCCTGATTTTTAAAATTGATTTATTTTTTAATTCCGGTGTAGTTAACACACAGTGTTATCTTAGTCTCAGGTGTACAATATAGTGACTCTCAACAGTTTGACCCAGCACTCAGTGCTCATCCCAAGGGAAGTGCGCTCTTCATCCCCATCACCTGTTTCCCCCAGCCCCCCATCCACCTCGCCTCTGGTAACCACCAATTTGTTCCCTAGAGTTAAGCCTGGTTTTTTGTCTGTCTCTTTTTTTCTGTGTTTTTGTTTCTTAAATTCCACATATGAGCAAAATCATAGAGAATTTGTCTTTCTCTGACTGACTTAATTTCGCTTAGCATTATACTGTCTAGCCCCATCCATTCTGCTGCAAATGGCAAGATTTCATTCTTTTTTATGGCTGAATGTTGTTCCATTGTGTATATACACCACATCTTCTTTATCCATCCATCTATTGATGGACACTTGGGTTGCTTCCATATTTTGGCTACTGTAAATAATGCCCCGATAAACATAGGGCTGCATGTATCCCCTTGAGTTAGTGTTTTCATATTTTTTGGGTAAATACCCAGAAATGGAATTACTGGATCATGTGGTAATTCTATTTTTAATTCTTTGAGACACCTCCATACTGTTTTCCATAGTGGCTGTACTAGTTTGGTAGCAGTTTCTTTAAAAACAAAAACAAAAACAAGAAAAAACCTATTCAATTGAAATGAGAAATGCAAAGTCCTAATTCTGATACACCCTAAAAAGGGAAATGAGATATTACCTGGGATGACAATTAAGGCTTATTTCCATTTACTTTCCTCCTTAATTAATCGATTAATTGACCAGTTAATTAGTATATTATCTTCCCATAAAAGAAGATTTCTTTGATCCCAAGTTTCAGAGTAGACCTTGCTGGTTGCAGCTTGCTCTTGTTCCTCTCCTAGGTCAGCTTTCCATGTGCATGCATTGTGTGTAGTATCTGTGTGTGTGTGTGTGCGCGCGCGTGTGTGCGCATGCACGCACGTGCGCTCAAAACCTAGGCACTTAGGCAGCTGCATCCTTCCTCCCATCCTCTGGCCTCTGGTGTCCAGGGCCTGCTTTTCCAGCATCATCCCTCCTTCCTCCTGACTCTTCCTGGGTATCTTCAATGTGACCTTATGCAGGTTCCTGATGGTTCTGCTCTGTGTCTTCTCCCACTTGCTTCCCCTCAAGACTCTTAATTTCTGGCGGGCTGTTTACATTTGAGAGGGGCTAGTGGGTCATTTCCATTTCTTTGAATGACTTGCTTGCCCAGCTTGGGCAGACTCCTCAGAGTTGCTCTCCTGTCTTCTTCCATAGTGCTGGAGTTTTACCCTCAGGCATTTCTGACGCTGAGCAAGCAGGCCTAGCACACGTGTGGGCGCTCCTCTTCACCAAGGCAGAGTCTCTGGCGTTCCCCAACCCTCACATTTTCCAGGGTTTTCAGCGCCAGCCTGATTTCCTCTGGGTGGTTTTCTGTATTTCTAGTTATTGCAGAGCTGTTGATTCATATTTGATTTTCCTGTTTAGTTGCTCTGGCCCATGTTGAGATAAAGTTTTGCTCTTCAGCCCATCATATTTTCTTCAGTTTAGAGAGGAGACTGAGAATTAAGGGCATTTTTTCTTCTTTCAATAGGGAGGCCTTTTAACATTTCTTCCTACACACGCCAGGACCATTGCAGCAACTTTGGAAGGGCCATCCCTCCTGTTCACGTTGAGATGGAGTAGTTTTCGTATGGAGCCATGCAAATTCATGGGCACGGTGGAAACGTTTCTTATCTGGTTAACCTTCAAATACTAGCCTTCTTAGATAACATAATGCAGGCAGTGATCCAAATGTAATTTTTTGAAAGTAATACCACAATTAATGGAGAATATGAACTTAAAAAAATTGTAGGTAGCTTTTTATTGTCTATATATACTGTAATTTTAATAATCATCAAACTTCGCTTTTAGCTTCTGAAATACATTAACAATTTTTAACATTGTTAATTTGCATAGATGTGTGTACAAAAGCTTCTATGTTTAAAGAATTAGTTTAAAGATATATTACAGTGATAAGCTCCTTTACAACCTTTAAGCCTATCCAAATGAAATGTGTAGTTTTGAATAAAATGGACAGAGTCTCTGGGTGCCTGGCCCCTAAGGGTTAGTGCTTTGCAAGTTATTTACATGTCATCCCAACCTGTTTATTTTTTATCTCCTCATGGCTCGTGGACTAAGCAAAATGTTGCTCTCTGTTAGTTTTCGTATTCTATAAATATAATCTCAAAGGCTAGTGGAGATGGAGGAAAAAAAATAAAGAATTACTGAGAAAAAGCTTGTTCCTATAACACAGTGTGCCGCTTTTCATAAGGCCTTTGCATTTTCTACTTCTTGAAAATGTTCCTTTTTGAAGTATTTTGTGATATATGGAAGCATCATACATATTGATTCCCAGTTAAACACAAGGACACGGATTGCCAGTAGCAAATAGCACATTAGATATACCACAGAATGTGGGGCTTGATTTGTTTTTTCCTGTCTTAATATGCGGTTTTGGGTCAGAGCTTGCTTCGGACCCTCTTGAACTCAGATGTGGTAGCTATCTTTGTGCATTTAAGCTGAAGGTACCATGGTGTGTTCTTTTTTGACAGAGCTGATGTTGTGTGAGGAGCTACATTCGATATTACACTTGGTGCTACAGGCGGGAAATATCATGAATGCAGTAAGTAAAATTCAAAAAAATTATAATGTTGTGTTTCTAAGTTTATTTGTCCGTCCAAAGGTATATGTATATATTTTTTCTTTTGATTTGTCTTCTTTAGGGAGGGTATGCTGGCAATGCAGTAGGATTTAAACTGTCTTCTTTGCTCAAATTGGCAGACACAAAAGCAAACAAACCTGGGATGAATCTTCTGCACTTTGTTGCACAGGTAGGTGGAAGTGGTGAATTCAGAGAGAGAGAGAATGAGTGTGAATCCTCCCTGGAGGTGGGGAGGTTTTTCCCAGGTATTAGGTGGCATCACACAGAGATAGGAAAGGACGTGGTGGGCTCCAAGAAGGTTCTATTTGCAGAAGCACTCTGCAGATTCCTGAGCTAAGCTGAGCTGCGCCTAGGGTTGTAGGATAAGAGGGAAGTGGAGGGGTTGGGGGAGGCAGGGGTCAGGTTTGGTGAAGCCCGATTAGGAAGGATCCACATCCTAAACACTGAGGAATTTGGATTCATGCTTTAGCAGTGGGAAGCCAACGGAAGTTTGTGCGCAGCAAAATGGCCTGACCAGGGTGGCTTTGTTTTTAGGAAAATAAGGCAATATGGAGGATGAGCTGGAGTGAAGAGAGAACTAGAAATGGGGCACCTCTTGGCAGAAGTTGGCTCTCTGATCATTTGGTGAGAGCTGAGAATCAAGAGTCATGGCCACAGGGATGGAGAGCAGAGGCCTGGGTGCTGAAACATTCCCAGCGTTGGGTTGACTAGATTTGTGACTGGTTATGTGTAGAGTGAGGGAGCCAGGGCAATGAAAAAATCAATTCCATTTGTTTCCCTTTGTGAACTGTAAGTCAGGGTGCCTTGCCACAAGCACAGGCCTTGGGGTCTGCACCCTGTTCATCACCTCCGTTTCTTACTGGGGCTTTGGGATACCAAAACAACCAGTTACAAAGTGAAAAATCGGCCAAAAACAGTTGTCTGTCTGTTGTTAAATTATCTCAAATTACGGATTGTAGCACTTTGTTTTTCCTTCACTGGATCACCTTTGTTGTTTTGACAGCAGTCACATAGATGTAGCTCTAAGCTGGGGAGGAAGCTGGGCTGGTTTCCATTGTGAGCTCCAGAACAGGACAGAACTGGGATTTTGACATGTCCTTTATTAGCTGTACTTCCTCAGACAAGTTACTTAAATGTTAAGACCTTCAATTTCTTCCTCTAATCGTGGGGCTAGTGATCCTTCAAAACAGGTACCCAAGAGGGCTGACGGGGATAATTCCATAAAGTGCTTACTTCAGTGTTTGGCCCATAGTAAGCTCTCCATAAACAACACACACAATTATTACTACATTCTTCAGAAGACAAAGGACATATTGAACTCAGGACTCACTTAAAAGTTAATTTTTCAGGGCATTGAATCCAGAAAATGTGTTCCTTATCCCGTGTGCCTTACAGCTAGTCTTCCAGCAGTCCCTTTAGATCCATGGAGCCAGGTGCTCTGTGTAACTTGGTTCCAGCCCATGGGGGGACGTTTCCAGAGTTGGTAATTGCTCCCTTCATATCCACCCTCCTTGTATCCCCTGAACAGGTGAAGAATCCAAATGCCTGCATGGCTTGTGCACCTTCTGATTAAACTCAGTTTGCAAACTGGTTTAACAGCTGAAGGCATCTCGGTCATTTAAAGGCATACTCATAGGAATGGGTGGTATTTAAGCAGGATATATTGGATTCTCTCAGAAACAATGGGCCCTGCTAAGCCACCACCCACTTCCATTGAGTTTGTGTGCCCATGAATTGTATTTCACGTCAGGATTGGTTGCTCTGGGAAGTTATATATATCTTGAGAGTAGGGGAGTTCTGGTAAATCTTACTAAGAATATAAGAGTTCATGTTTCAGTGAATTGCTCTGAATATATCAAGCATAAAAACAAGAACTTTAAGGTTCCTTTCAGCCTTGGGATAATTGTTTCCTTCCAGTTTTATACATATAGTAGAGAAAATTCTGTTTTTATTCTAGGAAGCCCAAAAGAAAGATGCCATTCTTCTAAACTTTTCTGAAAAATTGCATCACGTTCAGGAGGCTGCTAGGTGAGCAAAGAAGACTGAAAGTGAATTCTGATAATTCAGTTTTGTTTTTTTTCAATTACTTTTTAGATTTATTTATTTATTTGAAAGAGAGAGGGCACGAGCAGGGGATAGGGGGAGAGGGAGAAGCAGACCAGGGAGCCAGATGTCAGGCTCGATCCCAGGACTCTGCGATCATGACCTGAGCTGGAGGCAGACGTATAACCAACTGAGCCTCCCAGGTGTCCCTAAACTTTTAATGAAACTGGTGAATATTTTATAACTTTGAGAAAGTTTTGTCTTGTTGAATTTTCAGACCTTCCTTTTATTTGCTTAGAGGTATGTGTGTGTACCTTTGGAATTTGGGGGTTTTGAAAAATTAGTCTTTATTTTTAATCTAAAAAACACTATTGCAGTCTTTTCTAATGAATATCAGCAGTGTAAAAACAATATGGATTAAGAACTTCAAATCCCTCCACACCCAAAAGATAGAGCTCAAACAACACAGCCTATTACCTTGGGAGTTGTTATGTATCAGTCAAACTTCCAGGGCCATTTCCTTGTAGAATCTAACATGGTACATTTATTTTCTATTGCATTAGAAGAAGTTGGAACCATACCAAGGGTTGTGAAAGGATTTTGTTTTAAATTAGTCACTCAACTTACAGAGAAAGTATCTACCAAACATAAAGCTGTGTTTATATCACTTTAATATGCTTCTGATCCCAGTATAGATGTGCATTTTAATGTGGCTATAATCTGTATACGCGAGCTATTTTGAGTTCCATGTTTTTTAAATTTCTAGTACATATCCACATATCCAGTGGTATATGTTCAATAACCGGCTTCCCTGGAAAGAAGTCCTGATTTGTAGCATTTGCTGATCTCCATGGTGTAAATACTGCTCCCGTGGCAGGTGGCCTCACTGAGTGAGGAATTGGGAGGGGTGCCCACACCCACAGTGGCCTCTTGCAGGCTGGCTCCAGTGAACCACTTCTAGTCCTAAACTTGCTATCTGAGTGATTATATCCGATTAGGATAGCTATGAACCCTGTGCATAAATACACGAACCAAAGCTTTTCAAGCCAAGCCCTGTCATTGGCCAGTGTCTCAGTATTATTGACTGTGAACATCTAACCCCAGATTACATGTCTTCCCCAAAGTGAGCTTATGAGGCCGAAGCTGTGAACAGTTCATAGTTCCCATTTACAGATTTTCGGATTATTCCCCCCAAACAATGAGCATCTTATAAGATACAAACTCTTCTGGTTTTGAATTTCTAAGAGAAATTCGTGTGGGAATATTTTTTCCTCTGACTAGTATAGAAATGTTACTAAGAGGTATGTATAGAGAGAAATAACCATTATGTTTTTGAGTTGACGTTTGTGGTCAGAATCAGCTGGGGAAGTTTAGCTAGTAGGTACTGTCTTAGAAAATAAAGTTTGCTTATTTGAGACGGAAGGTGAAGTGTCCTGGTGAAGTACAAACAGATCACAGATGGGTGCCAACTACCAATGAAGGTGGAACACTTCACTGCATAAAGAAATGTCAGAATTCACAGTGGACGCATGAAAGCATCCTAGCATATGAGTTTGCTAAGTGAATTCCACCTGGATTTTAGGTTTCACCTATTCACTATACCTAGTGACAGAAGTATCACTCCTGCTCTCCTAATCTTGATTTGACGTATGTAACAAAAGCCTTGCAAACAGCCCCGCCATTTCTTTGCAGAATTGTTAGCCATGTGTTCGTTCTCTCTACCATACCAAGGGCTTACTCTGGCTGTCCGTGGCAACACGAGGTCTGCTTAGTATCTCCTCATTGCCCTGAATGTCTACACCGCCTGGCTTTGTGTGAGTTAGAGCTTTTTGTGCCAGAGGAGAGGGGAAATATCTGAGGCCTGTTGGCTTTTATTTTGTAATGCTTCTTGCATAAAGGTGTTCAGACCCACTTTATGAACAGCTTTACAAGTCTCATGGTTTCGTTATCTCACCAATAAAGACAGAGTTACACAGCCATCTCTCTTTGAACCAGTGTGTCTCTAGGAAGAAATGGACTTTTAAAAAAACCAGTGTGTCTCTAGGAAGAAATGGACTTTTAAAAAAACAGGAAGAAATGGACTTTTAAAAAAACTTCGGCCTCATTTTAAAAAAACTTTTAAAAAAACAGACTTTTAAAAAACAGACATTTACCACATTTCTAAATGTGGTAAATGTCATCGCAGAAGCTCTGCTGTCCGTGTCTAGGTTTGACCAACAGTTGGTCTTGTTTGATGTACCTCCATGACACATGGCTTCCCTGTGCCACCTGCCCACTCTCCCCTTTCTGCTTGTAGATTATCTCTGGATAACACGGAGGCAGAACTGCACTCGCTCTTTAACAGGACGAGATCTCTGAGGGAAAACATTCAGCTGGATGGTGAACTTTGTCAGCAGATGGAAGATTTCCTTCAGGTTCGTGGGTGATTTGAGTCCGTCTCTCTCTTTTTGGCTTCCAGCAGCACCTGCCAGGGCTGCTTCAGTCCACATAGCTTTGGGGTGGTAGCAGGTTCCCATTCATATTTCCCCCCCTGGGTCAATAAAAGGAACTTTGTATTTCAGTGCCCATTCTTTGCGGGGTTGGTTTTCTCGCAGGGGCCGTCGACTGTGGTCTGAACCAAGGGCTGGCCTCCATTTATCGCCACGGGATTGACATCATCATACCATGCTGTAGCGAATTGGTATCCGCGTAGGGAGCGAACGCTTGGCAGCTTATGCCTGGCAGCTCAGGTTTCGCTTCTCAACCATGGTGTAGGAGTTTCTGCCTCCTAATCAAACCTTTGGACAACAGAACGAAGTTCCATAGAAATCATAGACACCTGAGAACTCAGGCTGTTGTTCCTTCACTTGTTTTTATTGAAGAGACAAGCTACGTTTTGGCATGTTTTATGACGAGAGGGGGAGCACACACGAGAGCTGTGCCTATCAACACCCCAAATACATCAGCCCATAGGGTGTGTCACGCGCTGCTCTGAATAACACCAACAAGAGAACAGCAGAGCGGACGTGTTCGTGATAGCTCACTGTGACTCACTGATCGCACAGTCTCACACGCTTCTTTTATCTTCCTTATTTGAAAAAAACAAAAAAAAACAGTGGCAGCTTTTCATGCTTTCAGTCTTCAGGGGAAGTGGCATGCTACCTTAAATATCAGTGCTTCGAGCCTTGCGGGGTATGGGGGGTGTGGCGGGGCTGCCCTTGGTGCCAGGAACAGTGTGCTCCGAAGGTTGTATGCTGACTCGTAATTAAGCTACAGCAAGCAAATGTTCTGTGTCTCAGCTCCCATCAGCACACATTTTGTTTGGCTCTGGTGGGAGTTTATTTTTCTGATTAAACACGTGCTCTGTATTTTCTTTCAACTGTAACCAAACAGATATGCTCTTTTACATGCACAGATTTTTCTCAAAGTGAACCAACAAAGCAAACACCAGCACAGAAATGCCTAGCAGTAGGTAAGAAAGTACTCCACAGTAAGCACATGCAGACAAGTGAGGGAAAGCCAGAAACTGAGGGAGAAGGCCCGTCCCACAGTGAGATGAGAATTCTGGATGTCTCCGTCCCTGGCTCTTAAATTAAACATTAATATTTTATGCCATACATAGCAGTACAGAAAGGCGTATGATGAAAAACAGCTCTGTCTCAGCTGTACCCCTGGACTGCTCTTTCAAGGCGACCTTGTTTTAACTCTAAATGCTTCTTTCTAGTAGTCATCTTTATCTGTGTAAATAAAATGTTCCCACACAGCTATTTATTTTTCTTTTTTATATTCAATTTCTTTTTAAATAGGGGAGGGGGTGTAATTCTGTAAGGTAGGGTAGGGCCAGGTCATGAAGGGCTTTGAACGCCAACCTGAAAACATGGGACAGTGCTCTTAGCCATGGGGAAAGATTGAAGTTGTTTGAGGAGAAAAAAGACAAGAACACATATTTGTAAATCTGTTTCAGTATTCTGACCATCTGGGCAAGAAATAACGAATAAATTGGTTTGGAACTTGGGTCTGGAGCAGGCAGGTGAGACGTGAGAAGTTGAATTTGCTAGCACAACTGCTCATGTCTTGTCAATTATACTTGGCCAGTGTAGCTTTGGACTTTGTCATTTGGGGTCCTAACTGTGCAGAAAACTAACTCTTGGCAAAGAAAAACCCTCTGAGCTGGGTGATTTTCCACACCCATATTCAGAATGTTTCACTTTCCGGAGTCCTCAGGATGACTGCGGTGCGTGTAAGTTTTTCCTTCCTGGTTCTGTCTCCATCCCCACGGGATCTAGTGATGAGACACAGGAGGCGGGGCTAAGCTCCCATGTAGGTTCTTGTCAAGAGTCCTATTTTCCTGCAGTTGAGTTATCTTTGGCTGGAATCCACCTTTCCCCTGTGGAAGAATGACAGGGAAACATTTATCCTTTCATGAATACCCTTCTCCCCATAAAGAATAATAGAGCATGAATGCACACAGTGCCTTGGGCTACTGACTCAGATGGTTACTTTCTCTGGTATTTGGTTTCCTAAATGGTTTTGGTTTCTTACTACCTCTTGAATGTGTTTGGTGTAAGAAAAGGACTTTTAAGGGGGAAAGTGTGTTGGAGTGCGTGGGAGGTGATGAGTCTTCTCAGAATTGCTCTTCACTCTCCAGGCCTGTCTTAGCAGTTCCACTCCTTGAGGGTGCGCAACCCATAACTTCACTTTTCCAAGGCCTGTCCCTCCACTCAAAGGAAGTTTCTCAAATGTAAGCCTTTTTAAAAACATGATATGTGTGATTTATCAAGTAATGTACTTCATGCATTCCTTCTTCATATAAGCCTTCTTACCCAGTGAAACAGGAAGTGACGTGAGACGAGAATGATCCCAAATATTTAGCCCCCATGGGGTTGTGCCTCCTCTAAGCTGCTGCCCCCTCATTTCAGCTCAACAGTAAATGTCACGCAGTGCTGTCAGGGCAGGGTGCTTGTGCGCCTGATAGATCCCCAGCCTGACAGGGTTGGGAGCTCACCGGAGGAGAGCAGTCTTCTTTCATTTCTACTTCTTTGTTGTGGTGGTACCCAAATCTATTTTTTTTTTAAAGATTTTATTTATTTGAGAGAGAGGAGAGAGAGAGAGAGCATGAGCAGGGGGAGGAACAGAGGGAGAGGAAGAAGTAGGCTCCCGGCTGAGCAGGGAGCCCCACGCGGGGCTCAATCCCAGGACCCTGGGATCATGACCTGAGCTGAAGGCAGACGCTTAACGACTGAGCCACCCAGGCGCCCCGATGCCTGAATCTATAGAGGCACTGGAGAGTTTGTCCTGGAAGGATTAAGAGGAAGTGAAGACGTGGAGAGGATGGGCTTGTATAGGGCAGTAGTTATTAACCATGGGGGCTCCTCAGAATCTCCTGGGGGGGTGTAACAAAATATTAGTGGTAGTTGCACCTCAGACGTACTGAAGTGTGTGGGTGATGTCCAAGCACGGACTGTAGACAGTGCTTCCTAGCTGACTTGGATAAGCACCCTGGTTAAGAAGCCTTGGCTGGGGCGTTTGTCTGGGCACCAGGGTTTCCGTCCTGTGGGGGTGACACTGACCCTGATACAGATCATTTGAGATGAGGTTTAAACTCCCTCTCAACAGAACAGCTCGTCAGTACAAGGGAGTTCTGACATCCTGAAGTGAACCCTTGGCCAGTATAAGACTCGCTTTTAAGAGAAGGAAGAACAGATGCAGAGTGAGTTTTCCTCAATAAAACCAACTTTACACCTATGTCATTTTTCAGTGACATTAAAGGTGACCGTTGTATCAGTGGCCTTCTGTACATTAAAGCTCTCTAGTCTCTTTGGTGGCCTGCAGGCCTCCCACAGAAGTTCATCTTGCTTCCCCAGGGCTTTGTTTGGGTTGAAATATTTCCCTTTTGGCTCTGAGCGTGTTGGACTTGCCGTCACCCTTCCCCTCTCCCGAGACCTGAAGTTGAACCCAGGAGCACAGACGGCGCGCAGAGCGCCTCCTCGCTGCCTGTTGCCTTCAGCGTGTGCGTGTGTGTTTTCCCGCAGTTTGCTGTGGAAAAGCTGACAGAACTGGAGCGCTGGAAACGAGAGCTCCAGGGCGAGGCCCACACCCTTATAGATTTTTTCTGCGAAGACAAAGAAACCATGAAACTGGACGAGTGCCTTCAGATATTTAGAGACTTCTGTATCAAATTCAACAAAGCCGTTCAGGTATGGCTGATGGCATCTCCGGGTTTTCTGAGTGGTGTGGCTTTTTCTGTTTTCCTCTTCCAGACCCAGCCCTCTGCCCTTGGCAGCAAGATGGCTCAGCGTCTGCACGGTTTCAGGGAAGCATGACGTAGGCAGCATTGCCAGGCTCTCGGTTGGGATTCTGCAGGCCGGGGCTCTGCCGTCCCAGCCCCGAGCGCGTCCCCGTCCCCGGGGGGCCTAGCCCTGGCCACCTCAGCTGCTGTGCTGCTCATACCCACACTTGCTTTGACGCCCTGAAGCACTGTGTTAGGCAGGTTCATTTATGACGGCAGCTGTGATAATAACAAATCTCTTTGACGGTCCTGAAGGTCTTCCCCCCCCACCCCAGGAAAGAATTTCCTCTTTCAGGGAACTCTTTGTTGCGGTGGGATGATTGGAAGGCCTTCTCTCGCCTGTTTCAAGCACCATGGCCATGGCCAGGCGGTTGGCACCATGGGGACCATGTCGTCCTCGGCCAGAGCCGGCTTCGAAATTCTCAAGTAGTTAGGAGTCCGCTGCTGTCTGAGCGATACAGTGGCATTTCCCGCCCTTCAATCTCCAGTTCCAGTCATCTCTGAGTTCAGTGTGGGAGCCAGAGAGCTCTGGGTCGCTTGGCTTTGCAAGTCCAACTCTCATCGGTCAATGAAAAACAAAACATCCCTTCACTTCAGTGGTGATGAGGAACTAAATACTTGTACGTGATCCCTCTCCCTGTATTTAAAAGCAGGTTTGCCCATAGCTGAATTTCTCTGAGGGACTGGTCAAGTTTCCCTCGGCCCTGAGGAGGCCAGAGTGACTTGAGTTCTCAACCCCTCTTTTCTGGCTCCAGCTAAGAGAAGGAGGCTAAGCCTGCGGCCACGTTTCCTCTCCCTTATCCAAGCAGTGAGCTCAGCAGTGGGAGGTGGTGGTGGGTGGTAGAGGCCAAATTGGCTCTTTCTGAGGCTCTCACACTCCCTGTCAGAATTCTGCAGGCCCAAGAGGCCACCTGTGTGATTGTCTCGGCCGAGCTGGCCCCACCCCACCCCAGGCAGCCTTGGAGGAGAGGGCCCGGGGGACCTGGGACACTGGTGAGGCCAGGCCAGAGCGGAAGGGGGGACCGCGCGTCCCCAGCCCAAGTCTCACAGAAACTTGCAAGGGAAATCCACCATTTGAAAAAATTGATTTTCGAATAAAAAGTGCTATGAATAACAGATTAGGGTTGTGAGATCCACACATTTAGGTGACACAAACATATTTATATGTTTTTTAAAAGATTTTTTATTAGGTAGTGTGCGCGCGGGGGCGCGCTCGCTTGAGAGAGCACGCATGCGCAGGAGTGGGGGGAGGGGCAGAGGGCGAAGTGGACTACCCCCTAGCTGAGCGGGGATCCTGATGCGGGACTCGATCCCAGGACCCTGAGATCAGGACCAAGGCCGAAGGCAGACGCTTAACTGAATGAGCCACCCAGGCGTCCCACAAATATATGTATACTTAAAGTGCACAGCTCGGTGGTAAAGTGTGCTTTAGTATGTGCATTTGTTCTGGTTTGGTTTTGTTGGGGGAGGGCTGGGTACTTGGAGCAGGGTGAAGGGTGGTGGAAGGATTTGTAAAGCAAATCCTCTTGTCTGATTGTGGGAAGGGGGTGGGGCATGAGGGACCGAGCCACCATGGCATCTGTGGTGTTTCCTTACCAGGGAGCATTAGAGAACAGAAATTTGACTGGCATCTCTTAGTATCTTGGGTATATATTTATGCACCCAAATGGTCAAGTAGAATGTGCTGCATGTGTGTGCCCATGTGTAGATGTATTCAACACAGATGCAACAGGAAGGTATGATCTCAGGGTCCTCCTCTTTTTTTTCCTCTCTGCCATTGACTAAATAGCCTTGTCCTGTCTTGCTCTGCTTAGAAGCCAAGCTGGGTTCCCTCGGAGTTGAGGTGGCCAGCATGTGTGGAGTCACAGCCCACACTTAGGGGACAGTGCCTTGACCAGAAAGCTGGAAGCTGATGGGGTCCTCTGCAGGCAGCTTTGGGAGAACTAGCCCTTTCCACACCCTCCTTACTTGCAAACACACAGTATCCCTCCTGGCGAAGCTTAGGACCCAGGCTGTTCTCCGCATCTGTATCTTGGGGTCTTAGGGCAGGTGGCTGTGGAATTGCACGCAGGTCCCATGGGTCTAATGCATCTTGGGTCTTCTCTCCACCCCTCCCTCAGGACAACCATGACCGGGCGGTGCAGGAGCTGAGGCGGCTGCAGCGGCTAAAGGAGCTGGAGCAGAAGCGGCGCTCCTGGGCGGCTGGGGAGCTTGGGGGATTCTGCCGGAGCAGCAGTGAGAACGACGTGGAGCAGCTGACCAAGAAGGGCGTGGAGGACCTGCCGCCCTTCCTGCAGCCCCGGCCAGTCAGCCCTTCCTACCGACCTCCTAACACTCGGCGCTCCCGCCTTTCCCTGGGCGCTTTCGCCGATCGGGAGCTGCTGACCTTCCTGGAGAGTTCCACCGGCAGCCCCGAGGAGCCCAGCAAATTCAATAGCTTGCCCCGGAGCAGCCCCCGGCAGGCCCGGCCCACACTGGCCTGGATGGAACCTGGGGACCCGAGAGCCCAGGACCCCAGCCAAGCACCTAGACCTCAGGCCTCAGAGGGCCAGGTGGGGGCCTCCGAGCCACCCTCATCTTGGCAGAGCCAGCAGCCCCCGGCCCCCAGGCCTGAGGACCCTGCGCCCCCCTTCCCCCGAGTTCGGCACAGTGGGGTGGGCATCCTCCGAAAGAGGAATAGCGAGCCTGTGGGCCTGGGCCCAACCCGGTCCCCTCCACTCTCGCCATTGGCTCTGGGGATTAAGGAGCACGAGCTGGTGACAGGGCTGGCTCAGTTCGACCTCCAGGGATCCAAGGGCCCAGAGGAGGTGCCCCGGTTGACCCTGAATAATGACCTCAGCCCCATGGAGCCAGTGTCTCTGGGGGATGGGAGCGTGCAGTCCCTCGGTGCCAGCCACAGCAGCCTGATGCCTGTGGGCACAGGGGCCCGGGGTGGTCTCAGCCCAGCCCTGGAGGGGGACGGGGCCGCCCCTGAGGAACCCAGTGGCAAGGCTCTAGTATCTGTGGGCAGCAGCGACCCCGAGAGCAAAGACCCCGGGCCTCTGTTCTACATCTCTGATGCCACCGACTGCTCGCTGACCCTGGACTCCTCGGAGCCGGGGGAGGGGGGCGGAGGGGATGGCTCCCTGTCCTCTGGGGTTGGGGAGACAGGCAGCCAGGTCTCCTCTCACCCCACTTCCAGCCCCCTTGGGGAGGCTTCTGCTCCGGTCTCTGGGAAGAGCCAGCCCTCCTGCAAGGACGGCCTTCCCCGGGACAGACCCGCCAAAGGGAAGGATGCGACAGCACCGAAGAGAAGCGCCCTCAAGGAGGTGTCGCAGGGGGCCTCCAAGCCCGCCAGTGTCCGGCGGAGCCAGGGGGCCCAGGGGGCAGCGCCCAAGCCCGTGCGGACCTTGACCGCCTCCGAGAGTGAGAGCATGCGCAAAGTCGTGCCCATCTCCAGAAGCCGGGGCGCGGTGGGCTGGAAGCGGCCCACTCGGGAGGCCCCCAGCAGCACAGACCCGCCGTGGTCGCGCCGGAGCTCCGTGCGGGGGACCTCGGACGTGTCGCCCAAGCGGTCCTCAATGGGGGCTGTGGCGGGGGCCACGGTGGCGGAGGAGCAGAGGCTGGGTAGGGTAAGCGGCGGCTCCGGCAGCGCCAGGTCAGGGAAGGAGCCTCCCCTGCAGCCGAGGGGTTCTCTCAAGAAGCCCAGCGCCAAGCCCCTCAGGAACGTCCCCAGACAGAAGCCCGATGAAAACAAGGTCTGCCGCTCCAACTCCCAGGATCCTGAGAGCCCCGAAGAGGAGCCCAAGGCCCCGCAGGCCCCCAGCATCCCCCGTGTCCCGCCTCCCGTGCCGAGCTTTGCCCGAAACACGGTTGCCTCCTCCTCTCGGTTCACGAGAACGGATTCCTCTCCTGTGGCCAAAACCCCCGGCATCACTCGGACTGTTTCCCAGCGTCAGCTGAGGCCAAAGGGTGGCCCTGAGGATGCTGCCCCTAAGGACAGCAGCACCCTGCGGCGGGCCAGTAGCGCCCGGACCCCCAAAAAGTGTCCAGAGTCTGCTGGGGCTCCCAGTGCCAACACGGAGGCCCCTGTGAAGGGCCGAGGGGCTGGGGAAAGGGCCTCCCTCAGACTGAAAAACTCTGATCGGACCACGCTAGGGAAAATGCTCGATCCGTTACGGAAGTGAAGTCAGGTTGTGAGTGGCCCTCCTGTGAAGAAGGGCCAGCACCGAATGTCTTTGTTCCGCATAAAGTGGTCTGCCGGTGCCGCCCGCTAACGCTCAACGTCACTGAAGGTGCTGTCCGGGAGGCCTGTGGACTGTCCCCTGCTGAGCTGACAACTACTGTAAAGTCCCAAGTCTGGGCGGGCGCCTCCCTCGCACACCCTGGAGGAACCGCCTCCCAAAGCAGAGACCCCACAAAAATGCAGATGTGCAAGCTGACAGTCTCACCTACGGAGTTAAAAAACAAAAGAATTTTGGCCAGTTTTTATATGTCAAACTTATTTTTTAATATTACACAAATTAAGTAGTTTAGTTCCTTTTGCAGAATGAAATGCCTCCCAGGAAAAGGAGACAAAACCCTTAACCTGGAGACTTTATTTTCCTGTGTTCCCTGGCTTCAGGGTTCCACCTGCCCGCACACCAGCCATTGCTGGCAACTGGACTTCTCCACAAGCCCTGGGTGTTCTGTGATTGGCACCGTCTCCTTGGAGGCTCTGCCTTGCTCATCTCTCTGTGCGTGACTTTGGGTGAGGGTTAACGCGTGGGCAGAAGGGAAGGTGAGACTGGTGGATGGAAATCGGACGCTCTCGTGTGTTCAGACACAGACGGACAGGAGGCCCTGGCAGAATGCTGCATCTCCCCGAACTTAGAAGTGCCATCTCTTAATGGAAAGGCAGCAGGGGTTCTTCAGCTGAGCACATCTTCCCCTTCCGTGTTTGCCCATTTGCGTGTCTGTTGTGAAACAGAATGAAGGCTGCTATGACTTGGGTTCGCTCTAGTTATGGGAAGAATAAACCCTTCTGTCTCCCAGTCTTCTCCCTCCCTTCTCTCTCTGCCTGCAGCCAGCCTTTCTTTTGCTAACCCGACTTGGAGCCTGGAGAATCTGTGTATCTATGTCACTGATGATACATCTCTTCTTTGGTACAGTGGTTTTTAAATCCCCAGAAAAACCAAATCAAGTTTTTAAAAACCAAAAAAAACAAAAACAAAAACCCAACCCTGCTTTCAGAAGAATTTATATCATCAGGAAAATTTGGAAAAAACAGGCTTTATTCAAAAGAAAGGAGAATACATGTACTGTTTCTACTCACTGCCCATTTCACGACTTCTTTTGAGACTAGGAAATGAGGGGATTCTTGAAACTTTCTTGTTAAAGTTGCTGCCTACCTTTTTTCACTTTCGGTCACTTACTGAAACCTGAGTGAAACCTTATTTTAGATCCAACAGTGGTAGATTGATTTCAGCGAATCCACGTGGTTGATGTTACAATCTTCCTCCTGTAGAATGTTGCCTTCCATCCAAATTAATTGGAAACTCTGAGCTTCCATAAGTCAGCTAAATTGAAATGGTAAACTTTATGGTTAATGAAGTAAGGCACTTGACCACAAAACCTCTTATAAAAATGGCCTTGGGTAGATATTTCCTGGGCCCCACAAAGATGGTTATGGGAATCCTGCACTGTTTTTCACCATCTCAAAAAGCCTAAGAAATCATGTATTTAACCATGCAGACAACAACATTGAAAACATAGGGCCTGTCGGTGGGTGGAAATGGATGAAAGTGGTCAAAAGTTGGTGGATAGTGGGGCACCTGGCTGGCTCAGTCGGTTAAGCATCTGACTCGAGATTTTGGCTCAGGTCGTGATCTCGGGGTTGTTGGACGGAGCTCTGCATTGGGCTCCACGCTCAGCACAGAGTCGGCTTGGGATTCTCGCTCTTCCTCTCCCTCTGCCCCTCCCCCCACTCGTGTGCGCTCCCTCGCTCCCTAAAATAAATCGATCTTAAAAAAAAAAAAAGTTTGTGGATAGTGATGGGGTCAGGACCTCCAGGTGGGACCCTGGCAACCAGGGTTCCAGTTCTTGCTCTCGCTGATGCTATGTGACTTTGGCCAATCACTCCCTCTCCCTCGGCCTCTGTTTCCCAATCTTCGGAAGTGGGGGCATGGCCTCAGTGATAGTTTCTAAGAGTCCCTCCAGCTCCAAAAGTCTGAGTTATTATAAACAACCAAGGACCCATCTACCCCAGGACCAGCTTTTCCAAACTGACCCCCAGCACCTCCTAGCAGAGGCCTCATGTCAAAGGCCTGCTCAAAAGAAAGCGCCTTCAGAACTTGCTGTTGCTTTGAAATCTAATAAGCTGAGTTTTTTGAGAAGCGGTGTTTTACTTAGCCCTGTGGACCCTATGTGTATGCATCTGTATGAGCAGGTGATCATTCTATTACCTTTTATCGGTAGTAAGCTTTGAAAAATAATTTAAGTATATAATGGAGAACTGTAAATAAGTTTCTATATAAATTTAAGATGAACTGAATGTATTTAAAGGTCCATTTATATGTTCTTTTATGTAACATGTAGTTTAATAAAGTTCCTGTTTATGGGAGTTGTGTTTTATCCTCAACTTACTCTGTTGATGGGTGTGTGTGTGTGTGTGTGTGTGAGATCCTGGTGGAAGAATGTATAATCTCCTGCACACAGAAATGCCCGGATGCAGGAGGTGCAACAGGTTTGAGATACAGTGGTCTTGTCCTCAGGAGGCTCAAGAGTCAAATTAGGCTGTTGGTGTGTATCTTCTCGGTACCCCAGAAACTGTGTTTAACTGAAGGCCTAGAGAGCGGGCTTTGCGCCAGACCTGTGGGAATGCAAGCATGCATCTGACACGCAGGCCATCGATGGAATGTTCAGCACCTCGTGCATGCTCGCATTATTCCATGTTTTGGGCCAAGCTTTGTGTAATCTCTGTGAGGCCAGCAAGTCTGGATCTGCTCCTGTGTGTCCTCATGCATGTTGGCTCGGGGCACTATTGGGAAATCACAGCTCTTCTGCAGCTGCCTCAGGAATGAGCAGAGGGAGGGAGGAGTGGTTTGATTTGAAATGCAGTGCTGGTGCTTATATGAGAAAGAGGAATTGTTCGGAAGATGCACCTCACACCTCGGGGCTTCATGTCAAGTGTTAGTCCTAGCTACTCTCGCGCTTGATCTGAAGGGGTTTAGACAATGATCCCTGGATCAGGCACCAACAGGAGAGTAGATGAGCGGCGCCTGGGTGGTGTAGTTGGTTGAGCGTCCAACGCTTGCTTTCAGCTCAGGTCATGATCTCCGGGTCGTGAGCCCAAGCCCCTCGTGGGAGCTCTGCGCTCAGCGCAAAGTCTGCTTGAGACTCGATCTCTCCCTCTCCCTCAACCCCTCCCCCCACTCGTGCTCTCTCTCTCTCAAATAAATAAATCTTTAAAAAATTTTTTTAAAAAGTAGACAATGTCTTTGTGAATTGCTGTCTGCCCCGCGGACACTGAGAGCCTGGTTTTGCCTGTTATAAGCTGGTTGGGCCACTGGACCCCTTCCTATAACTTCAACCTGTTATACCAGGGGTTACTGACATCAACCAAAAAGAAGACTATTTTCACAGTGGGTCTCAAGTAGTTTTCTTTTTACCCTTTTATTTTATGGCTTTCACAAGGAACCTGTGTTCCAGTCCTCCTAAAGACACATGTTGAAGGGCCGCAGTTGTTCCAAATTGTTCATTCAAAATTCTGCTTCTTTATGTGTTATGGTGGGAGGTCCCAGAATAGTTTGTTGGAACTATCAATTCAGCCCTTCAAGGTGTACAAATTCACCAGCTTCTGCCTCTAAGGGTACAATATCCCTCCTCCCATCTGGTGATGATGATATTTTGCAATTTCACAGAATTTTCCGTTGAAACTTAAACTTTATTCTCAATTCCTACACTTTTTTTTTTTAAAGTAAGCTCTATGTCCAGTTTGGGGCTCGAACTGATAACCTCAAGATCAAGAGTTGCATGTTCTACCAGACTGAGCTAGCCAGGCGCCCCTCAATTCTTATACTTTTGATTCACGTTCCAGTCCTGCCCCCAACGAAAAAGTGAGTTGTTTTGTTTTGTTTTTTGGTATGTATCTTCAAATACATATAAGCATCAAACAAATAAACCAAATTAGAATAAGGGACTGGCCAAGGGTATGATTGAAGGTGCTTCTCTGTCTGAAGATCCAAATCACACCAACTCCTCAGGATCCTATAAGGCTCTCCTCCTAACTGGGCACTGAGCTCAGAATACATTTTCTGCATCACTTGCCCAGGAGAAAAGCACCTGCATTTCCTGACAGAGGCTCGGAGAGGGGCCCAACCCAGGGAACAGCCCATCTGGTTACTCACTAAGTACTGTTTTTTTCTTTAAAGATTTTATTTATTTATTTGAGAGAGAGAGAGAGCGTGAGAGAGCAGGGGGAGGAGCAGAGGGGGGAAGGAATCTCAAGCAGACTCCACTAGCTGAGCGTGGAGCCCGACGCCAGGCTTGATCTCACAACCCTAAGATCATGACCATGAGATCATGACCTGAGTCAAAACCAAGAGTCGGATGCTTTACCAACTGAGCCAACCAGGCACCCAGCTCACTAAGTACTTCTTAAAATTATTTGGGCTGTGAACACACACAAAAATGGAGGACAGTAGGTTGGCGGGGTCACTCTACTCAGCGTCTATGGAGTAACCTTGTATAGCTTGGACTAAATCTGTGGCAGGGTTGAAAATAACCCAGGGCAGGCTCTCCTTGGGTGGGGGGAGTTCATCTGCAAATATCTTCCAGTAAAGTGCCTCATGGCTCACTGGATCACCTCAGTGAAGACAAAAGTGACATTCTTGTAGTTGTAGAAAATGGCTTTTCTGTCTTCCAGACCACAGCTCTGCAATGAAGCTTTGGCTTCCTGGTTGGTAGGTAGGACAATTGGACCCCACTGCAGGAGAGGTCACAGCCACAGGCAACATTCACGGGCCAGTCATTCATGGGCCCTCGATCCAGGGCCCACCAGGACCCTGGCACAACCTGACCATCACCCTGTGGAATGAAGGTGCCTGGGTCTTTCAGTGAAGATCTGCTTGAGGTCCCTATTGATGCATTCATGCCAGGCCTTTGGAATCAGGCCTGGAGTTTGCCCCCAGCCTCCTTAGAAACAAGG